GCGTAGAGCTTTCGATTCTGTGCAACGACGAGACGTTTTACGAATAGCGTCGCGAATTTTGCATTGCAAATTTTGTGCGTATTCAGATATCAAATAAAAAAAATATATAAAAAAATAAAAAAAAAAATTGCGAACGAAAACCTCGCGCCGTTCTCGAAAGCGCGTTCGGAAAGAAATGTTTTTACGTTGGTTAAGTTATCATTCCTCCGGTTTCGAATCCGGAATATACGTATTCGAGCGCGAGAGAATATACAACATACGTGCACACACGGTCGTTTCACGTCAAGCTCAGCCATCTAGTTATTATAAAACGCGGAGCGAAAAGATCGTCGCGGGGGGAGGAAAACGCGCGGCGCATCAGCCACTCCTCCACGGATCCGTTTCGCGAGTATCGATCACGCATTGTTATACGCGGAGAAGAGAAAAAAAAGAGGAAGAGATATCGATATGATGGGCTACATGGTTAATAGCGCGCGCTGTGCCGCGTGACAACTCTCCGACAGAAATCGTCTGGTATTAACACGTCGCTCGAAAAGTAACAAACGCTCGGCAACGGACACGGCGCAGAGCCCGAATCCGTTGTTCAAAATATCGTAATTCCGTGAGCGCGGGCGCGCGCGCGTGAGAGAGAAAGAGAGAAAGAAAAAAAGAGAGAGAGATACCAGTTCGGGGTCAGCTTTGACCTTTGTTCCGGGCGCTCGGAGTGCGTTACAACGATGAATTATTATATACCCTCCAACCACTGTCGCGCAACAACAAAGCGCCTGGGTTTCGCTCGGTTTTTGTTCTATCTGTTGCTCTCTCGTGTCTCTCCGTTTTCTCTCTCTCTCTCTCTCTCTCTCTCTCTCTCTCTCTCTCTCTCTCTCTTTCTCTCTCTGTCTCTCCTCTCTCTTTCGTCGACGCACATGCACGCACGCACACACACACAGAGAGCTTTGGCAAACCATTACATCTTCGGGAAAAAGATGAAAAACGAGTTAATGTCTCGCCGAGTGGTACGCCACGCGAGAATGGAAACATAACTCCATCGCGCGCAAATTATTAAAAGCATCAGCGTAGCGAACAAGCACCCCCACGATCAATGAGAAACGTCCCGGAGAGCATAAACATAGAAACGCGTATACGAACAAGCGAGACAACGTCTGGAGTAAGAATCGCGAGGATGTTTGCACGCGTATGTGCGCCGGGTATGAAGAAATGTATCGATCGACTCGGTGGTGATGACAACGACCAAGAATATCGAATTCGCGCGCGCGAATGTGTCAAACGAAACACTCGGATAATTAACAGAGTCTTGGGGAAACTTTTGTTTCTCGGAAGAAGAAGGAACCGGTGTCTCGCGGGATAACGTTTCTCGCAGCTAGCGGCGGCCTTGTTTCCAAAACGTTTAACGAAATGCGGCGCTCAAGTGTAGACTCTCGCCGCCGCGCCGCCGCCGTGGGGATCCATCCCCGCTTCTAAATCGCCACGTAAACGGCAACGATAACCTAGCATTTTATACACAAGATCTATGGAGCCTAGGCAATAACGTTTAGCGATAATTCTAGGGTACCCCGAGAGTAACCCTCGGGGCATCTTACGAGATGACTTATACGTCATCGTCGGAGTTATATTTCGACTCCTCGGTGCACTCTCGACGAATTAGAAATCGTCACGCGTGTTGCACTTTGTGTTGTTGGCGTCGACACCTGAGAGAGCGACGCTCGCCTCGCTCTCCAAATTATAATCGTGCACCTCGTGTGTATAGGAGAGGAGAGGGGGAGCGCGAAGATATGACCCAGACGGCACATCGTCACTCCCTACGTATAATTACATAAGTGTCACATATGGGATTTTCAGTTTATTGCATAATGACACTTAGAAAGTCATGTTCTTTATGGTCTCACCAAATATTAAAAAAAAATATTCATAAATAAGGTACAAATTTAAAACCGAAAGATCCCTAACTATAGGGAAACATATGAAGCTTTATACTTTTAAACTGCTCTCCTCTAAAATTTGCGTTTTGGAGTTACGGGATTATACGTCAAAGTTAAAAATTATCACTGCGTTAGGGACAACTAACATTGCGCATTTAGGTTTAGCAAGTGATCAAAAAATTTGTATTTAAAATTAATAAAAGATTCATTACGTATGTCCACTGGAATATCGTTCCAGATGTCCACCGAGACACATCTGTAAGATTGCCTATAATACTCAGTACGGCACAACGGCAAGATCAAAGTTCCATAAATAGTTCTAGTCTCGCGATACNGCTGTGGATCTCTAAAAGAGTATCCATCATATAAAACCCGCGGTCTTCCCGTCTCCAATATTTTGAAGAGCATGTTTCCCATGAAGAAGATTCTTCTCAGCTTAAGTTTAAGCCAGCGCAATTTCTCACAATATGGTGTGATGTGCTCGTACCATTTGATTTGGAAGATGAATCTAACACATCTGTTAAAGGCTCTATGTAGTCGGAGACCGTCAATATCTGTTAAATTCGTCAGTAACGTGCAACCGTAGTCAAAAATTGGATAGATTAAAGAGGACACCAATCTTGACCGTACTCGAGATGAGAAGAGATGCTTGAATATTTTTAACCGATGCAAAGCAGCATTAGCCCGCGAAATTGTATTGGAGATGTAAGTTTCCCATGATAAAGCACTGGTCAAGGTGACACCAAGATACGTAACAGAGTTGCTCCAGGGAATGAAGGCTCCGTCTACTACCACACGCGATGTGGCTTGTAAGTCAATCGCATGAACATGTCTTGCTGTGCCAAAGATAATTGCCGATGTTTTACTGGCATTAAGTTTTAATCCGTTAGATGTTGCCCAATTCACCACGTTACAAATGTCCATATTAATTTTATTTAATGCCTCTNCAAGCAGAGATGGTTCAGTGTGCAAGTATACAAGTAGATCATCAGCATAATAATTATATCTACACTCCCTCAGGATTGTGCCGAAATCAGAGACATATAACGAGAAAAGAAGTGGCCCCAAGACCGACCCCTGAGGAACACCTTTGTTAATTGGTAGTTGAGCCGACACTGTGTTTGAGTATGTGTCACGAACTGCCTGAGTTCTACCAAAGAGATACGAGCACATCCATCTCAAAACAGAGTTAGAGAAATTCATNTCCATCATTTTGTTGATCAGGCGTCGATGGTTGACATTATCGAAAGCCTTAGTGAAATCAAAGAATACCGCAATCGTGACTTTTCTCTGATCCGCAGCTTCTCTTACATCATCAAGGACTCTGATGAGCGCGGTCTCAGTAGAATATCCCCGCCTATAGGCATTCTGATATGGATCCAGTAAATTGTTAGGTTCAAGATATTCCACCATCTGTTGCGCGGCAATTCGTTCGAGTGCCTTCGACAGCACACAAAGCAGAGAGATCGGCCTGTAATGCTGTAGTTCCGAAGGAGATTTTACTTTCGGCACTGGACAGACCAAGGCAGATCTCCAGATAGTAGGAAATACTCCACTATTCAAGCTGTAATTAAAAATGTGTGTGAGAACAGGAAGGATGCAAGGCATGGCCAATCTGATGAGATCCCGCGAGACACCATCATGTCCAGTTGAGTTCGAGGCAATAGTAGATACTGCCGTTCTGACCTTGGCGTCTTCAACATTTTTCCAGTAAAATTTCGACTCGTCATATGCAAGTTCACCTAAAAATACCTCTTCATTCTCAATGGCATCCGATTGATGGTCAGTTAGGAAGCTATTGTAGTCATCAGCAGAAAAAGGAAGTCTAGTAGGGTTAGCTTTTGTCTTAATTAGACCGAGTTGTCTTAGTTTCATCCAGGTATAAGCTGGCTTCCTACAGTCTCCAAAGACGGATAAATAATAGTCTTGCTTTGCTTTACGAACTATGTTTTGTACTTGATTCCTTGACTCTTTAAACAAGTTGTAATTCATATCGGTTTTATGTCTCCTCCACTTTCTACGAAGCCTGTCCCTATCNGCCATCTTTGCTTTGATAAGCGGAGTAATCTATAGTGCTGGTAAGCGTTTAGGACGTATTGTCTTAAGTGGAGCATGGCTGTTGTAACAGCTTAATAGATACTCATTAAGAAGTTCTATCTTCTCGTCTATACTGTCGGTATGACGTATCGCACTCCAGTCACAGGCAATCAATTCTTCAAGGAAAGACTCACTGTTAAACGTTGTGAAATCTCTCACCACAGTCGTTCTAGCATAGCACCGTTTGATGTAGATGTTATATGTGATATCTATCAAATCATGCGCAGATAGAAATCCAATGTCGTGCTGTTGGAAAGATTTCAGTTTCTCAGCATTGTTTACCATGCACAGATCCAATAACGTTGAAGACGTTTGAGTGTGATGTGTCGGTGCATATGGAACAAGATGCATGGATGATGAAGTGACAAAAGTAGAAATCAAATGTGAATCATACGTAGTTTGTAAAAGATCAACATTAAAGTCACCAAAAATTATGCAGTGTCTGTACTGCACAGAAATATCTGAGACAATGGTGAAGAATTCAGNCAAATGTCCACAGTGCGGCGGTCTATATACGACTGCAACTATAACTTTCTCANCACNAGAAGAGACCTCCGCAATTAAAAATTCGGGTTTGCGACAATATTCTCCGCCAGATGTTGTCAAAGTCTTAACATTAAGTGTATCTGCCAGCAATAACGCAACTCCACCTCCCATCNTGCCAATNCTGTCACATCTAAGTAGCTGGTAGCCTGGTAATTCGACAATCTGATCCAGGATAGTAGGCTTAAGCCAGGTTTCCGAAAGACAAATNATATCATATTTAGAGTTGGTGAAAAATAACCGAAATTCGTCTAAATGCGCCATCAAGGATTGACAGTTTACATGACACGCACGTAAATGATGCTGCTCCACATTGCAAGATTCCATTGTAACGATAAATATTTTACCAGTCTGGTTACTTTCAGATTAATAACAGAGAAGTAATCTCAGATTACGAGAGTTGTTCATAATTTATATTTTTAATCTTTTCCTGCAGCCTTTTTATCGGATTTTTCTTAATATCGGACAATTCTTCCCGTCAAGTGCAGAGTGTGTTGATTCACTATGCAACCATCTTCTGCAGTTCCCGCAAGTGGTAGCTTCACTCCTCGCATGACAATTTCTCATTTCGTGATCGCCCGCGCAATGACCACATAGTGCTGCACTCTTACAATTCTTAGCCAGATGACCAAATGCCAAACATTTATAACATTGAAGCACTCGCACGTAATCCTCGAAGACACACGATGAAAAATTAATATAGATATGTTGCTCGCGACGCAACATGGTTCGTACATCAGGCGGTACCTCAATTATACAACTGGTAGTAGTACGATCCGTCTTGGGTGGAAATATATATATGACCTTGACTTCAGGCGAGTCATGCNAATTCAGATTCAGATCAATAAGCTCTGATCTAATAATTTCTTTGTTAAGTCCAATAGGTACCCCGTGAACAATCAATCTAGGATTTGATTTAGCAATCTGTTTCACCTTAAGTCCTGCTTTCGCAAGCTCAGACGAATCTTTAATTTTTGGCAGATCAACCGTCGCAGCCTCAATACGAACACCGTTGTTACGCGTCGAAGTTATTTTGTTCACTTTCAAGTTAAAATTCGCCGGCTTGATAATCCTCTTTAAAGCCTCCTTAGTCTCACTAGACGATGAGTATTTGCATCCATGATCTTTATTAGGTACGATGAGAATATCCGTGGACTTCTTAACGGCGACAGTAGGACCACGAGCAACANGAATAGAACTCGCAGATTTCACAGCAGCAGCATACGAGACGGAAGGTGCAGAGCCATCCTCGGACATAAGTCCAGCAGATCGATGCAGCAGAGTGTCTGAACGCATCTTAGAAACTGCATCCGTTATCATTTCCTTGACCGATTCAATCGTAACGGCATTGTTCTCTTTCTCTAGCAATGCTAAGTATCCGCGGAGAGCTCAGAGAGAGAGAGAGAGAGAGAGAGAAAGCATCATTTATTATAGCGCTCCGGCACAAGTTCCCTTAAGCGCACCAAAAGTATATGTACAGGGGAGTATGTAAATGTATACAATATAAAATATCAAAAAAAAAGAAAAAACAATGAAATATAATAAAAATAATAAACATAATGAACTAAAACATAATAAAAAAATAATAAACTTAATAAACTAATAAACAAATGAAATAAAGAGAAAAATTTGACTGTGCAAAAACATCCAAGCAAATAAATATTAACATTCTATTTTAGACTAACTCAGCATTGATGATTCAAAAAGTAAGCATGAAGTTGCGACTTAAATTCACCTAGAGACTCAGCGTCACGAATGTAAGGAAACAGATTATTCCAGTTAGAGGATGCAGTACATGTAAAAGAGCGCTTATAAGTCTCTGTACGACACTGCGGTACAGCAAGTAAATTGGAGGCAGCTCTTGTCGATCTACTAGAAGTCGCACTCCGAAAATGAAAATTATCATATAATACACTGGGGCATTCGGTCGATAAAATACTATATGTAAGACATCCAACAAAATAAGCCCTCCTGCTATCAGTCTTCAGCCACCCAAGAATCTTGTAATATGGTGTTATGTGATCATCTCTTCTTACACCAAAAATGAATCTGACACACGCATTAATGGCCCTATGCAGTCTAATGTTAAGAGTTGTTGACATGTCTGTGAACGCACAACAGCAATAGTCCACATGCGGAAAAACAAGGCTCATTATCAAATTCTGCTTCAGCGTTTGTGGTAATAGATTCTTGCATAACTTCAGCTGATACGTTTTCCTAATCTTTTTGGTGGTGTTAACGGTGTGCTCATTCCACGAGAGCGAGTTAGCAATTGTAACACCCAGATATTTTACTTGAGTAGTGTACTGAACGACAGCACCACTCACTTCAACACGAGGCAGGGTGCTGAGATTTATTGCATTTATGTGTCGGCTCGATCCCAGAATGATCGCCTGTGTCTTTTCGCAATTCAGAATCAGCTTGTTCCCGGATGCCCACGCCACAATTCCGCAGATATCTGTGTTAACACTAGTGATGCCCTCATGTAGATCTCAAGACAGACAATGAAGATAGATTAATAAATCATCTGCATAAAAGCTGTACTTACAGTTAGAGAGAACATCCCGAAAGTCCAAAATGTACAGAGTAAAAAGCAGCGGTCCAAGAACGGAGCCCTGCGGTACTCCAACGTTGACAAAGGCAAATGAAGAAGTAGAGCGGTCAACAGGATCTCTTGTTACTTGTTGCCTTCCGTTCAAATATGAACTTATCCAACGAAGCGCCAGGTTGGAGAACTTTTTAGCTTTTAGCTTTCTCAGAAGAATAGTGTGGTCAACTCTGTCAAAGGCCTTTGATAGATCGAAGAGAACAGAGATAGTGACCATTCTTCTATCCGCTGTTAGTCTAACATCATCAAGTACTCTTATGAGACCTGTTTGAGTTGAATGGTTTCTCCTATATGCAGATTGATAACAGTCGAATAAATTGCTCTCTTCCAAATAATTCTGTATTTGATCACATACAACTCGTTCGAAGACCTTGGACATGACTGGAAGAATTGCAATCGGCCTGTAATGTTGCAAAGCTGTTGGATTTTTAATTTTAGGTATTGGACAGATAATGGCCTTCTTCCACGCATCCGGAAAGATACCGTGAGACAATGAATAATTGAAAATATGCTCCAATACAGGCAAGATGTATTGTAGAACTAGGCAAATTATGTTCAACGAAACACCATCGTATCCTGTCGCATTAGTTTTTATCTTGTAGATGACCTTCCGTATTGAGTTTGGTGTAATATGTGTCCAATAAAGTTCACTATCGTCAAAGTCCGCGAGAGATAGATTTACGTCTTCAGATAATATATTCCTGCCCAGATCTCCGGTGTGTGCAAAGTAGTCGTTCAACTCTTCCACTGTATACGCCAGACACCTGCTAGCGTCCTTAACCTTGATAAGCCCAAGATGTTTAAGATGACTCCAGATCGTGTTAGGGTCCTTTGCCGTATTAAATATGCGCAGATAATAGTTATTCTTGGCAGTTCAAACTAATTCAACTAAGTTCTGAACATGATTTCTTAGTCTTTTGTAGTCAGTATATTGATCAACGTTCCGCGTTCTCCGCCATCTTCTTCGAGCTCTATCTCTGTCCTTCATTGCAGTTTTGATATCAGCTGTCAGCCAGGGAGCAGGGAAATTCTTGAAGATCCTACGTTGTATAGGAGCGTGATCGTCCAAGCATTGTAATACATAATTATTCAACATATCAACTTTTTCGTCCACAGATGCAGAGTTCATAAGATGCTCTCAGTCCTTAGCTCGTAGATCCAAAAGAAAATCAGATTCTTTGAAGTTTCTAAAATCCCGACAAAAGATTTCTCTACAACATCCACGTTCCACTCTGATTTTGTAGTGAGTATTTAGATTAATCCCAGCAAACAATTTGGTTGCGAGATGTCGCAGTTTTGTCGCCAACCGCCGGCGAAATTAGTAGACCAAATCCATATCCATCTGTGTTTTCATTAGGATATGGTTTGGCGACCATATCTGTCAAACATGTGAGATGTCAAAATGAGGCCAAAATCACGAAGTAAGAGTAAGGAGATCGAACTCCGTGATATAAAAGTGGTCCCGATTCTGACGCCTAATTGGGAGGGAATCCGCTCAAGGGAATAGTTTCTTACGGTTGGACGCCATTTGCAATTAGTAACGTAACCTAACTTTATCTGTCAGTTTTGTTTCTTTACAAATCATGGCATGCTGGATACGTGGATGCGAGACCAAAGGAGGGAAACATTTTGTACCAGACTGAAAGCATTGATTACAGCAATGAACAGCCGAACACCCATGGAAGCCCTAAAGCCGGGCAACCAAATGTGGAAGGTATTGAGTTAAATCTATTACAAGCACAATACACAAGTATAATTAATAATTACAAAGGTTGTCGTACTGTTATAGGACATAGAAGATTTTTTGCAATATCTGAATGCATGGGAAAAAGAAGCAAAACAACATAATTATGAATTTATCACATCTTCAACGTGCTACGGATTAAAAGTTTCATTGACGGNAGCACTAGAAATTTGTAGTTATTTGGTTAAGAAATGCAATTTTAACTACTTGATGACTGCTAGACTAAATCAAGACAATTTAGAGGTATGTAGAAGATGTACCAGAGAATTATTTTAATACAAAACAAATCTATATAATGTAATCTGTACAACGTCTTATTTTTATATTAGCGTTTTTTTGGCATGATGCGACATTGCTGTGGTTCCAACGAACATCCGGATTCTCAATTATTTATACAAATGTATAAGTTGGTTTCAACTTACTCATTGGTAAAACCGCCAAAAGGTTGCAATGTGGCGGGTGGAGAATTGATGCATGTTCTTCTAAGCATCAAGGATATAAAAGATCCCCATGAACGACAACAACAATGGCTGGATCAAATTGATACAATTTTGGATAAAGGCACAAATGTTGAAATTCTTGTCAATGCTGCCACAGAGCTTGATAATCATGACTATTATTTATGTACCACGTCAGAGTACGTATTAAGTTATATAGCTGGATATGTAGCTAGAAAAAGCCAAAGATTTATAAAATTTGGCGAGAGCAAGCAAAGTTCTGCGTGTGACGATTGCCTGAAAACATTGGTGTTAGGTCCAACTGAAGAAATACCTGAAACGCATCGACTAATATTGTTAAAAACAAAAGGCTGCTTAAAGCATCCTTCGGCTGTACTAATAAGCTTACTTTCAATTTTGGAACAAGCATGAAAGTGAAGTAACTCACAAAATAATACGATTTTTTTTAACGACGAGGATGCATTTTCTGTGCAAGCAATCAAACAAAAATAATAACGCCGAAAAAGAAAAAACAAAAGAAAGGAGAAAAAATTCAAAACTCAGCCAAATGACTGACATTAATGTGCAATCTTTAGTGTGTAAAAAAAATATATAATATATACTGTTTATATAAAATATATAGTAAAATTAAACTTAAAACTCCAAAAACAAGTGCAAAATAAATCAGTTATAGTTAAGATGTTAAATATATAGTTAAAGATGTATAAATAAAGACTGAGAATAAAATACAAAAGTATGAGAATAAAAAACAAAAAACGACATAAGTAATATATTCTGAATGTTATTTTTATTTCCTCATTTTTTTATAGATACAAAAAATGAATTTATATATACAATTATTAATTGATAGAAAATTTAAAATTAAAAAAATGTACAATTCGTTGCTTTTGTTGTATGTACATTAGACTGTACTAGAGTTTTCAAAATGTCACTTATTGTATGAATACTGGATACTTTTATAAATTTTGAAAATGGTATAATCTCGTCATTGATGTAAATATTAACATCTAAAGTAGGAAACAGCAATTCTTTTTCTGACACTAAAATCACTTTCTGCTTTCACAAAACCAAAAAATGTGTCGTTTCCAGTTGTAAATCCCTAATTTGGAGAAGGCAGCTCAACTAAATGCAAATTTCTTTGCAAATACTTGCATTTATCTGCTGCTTGTTCCATTTCCATTGAATTTCTTTCCATTATACTCGTGAGCCTGAAAATGATAGTCTTTTTTACTATTAATTTCTCAATGTTACTTTTTTCCATTATTAACCATTATTAACATAACATTATTAACATTAGTTTTGCTTGTCCGATTTTGCGTATCTATAATTTTATTTTTAATTACCCAAAGCGTTCTAACACGATGCACGTAAAACAGAAAACTTCTAAATCTTTTATCACTTTATTTTGTTGTATTGCTAAGAAATTTGTACATTACAAGAAATGTCACGATTCGGAGCATAAATATAGTTACATATACTAACGTGTACATGTNGTAGTTTTGCAAATGGC